CCCCGTTCAGTCTTCCACATCTACATTTTGTGGGATTAGTTGGGAAAGCGTTTTTCTTGTCCTGAATCTTTCTCGTAACGACGGCAGCAAACGGTTGTTTTTGTTGGGAAGGCCTTGTTCAGACAGTGGTCTCTCATCAGTCATCTATCTCGCTGGGCTGCTAGTTCCATTGGGACGCCGATTCTTTGATTGCCAAGGGAGGTTTCTGGAGGGGCAGACGGAATGCATGCGAGAACTATATTTCAATTTTACAACAACAACAAATAGGGTTATAATAGGGCTGAATGGACGTTATCAACAAAAAGATAGCTTTTTTCAGTCCCTCGTCAGTGAACTACACGGGGCCTCTAACTCGAACGTCAACGATGGAGACAGTAGAACTGGAGGCAGCACTAGGAAGAGAACAATATTTTGTGGTTCCATCTTATTCAGAAGCGATGTTGATGCCGCATGCCACAGTGGTAAGTTCGAGAAATCATCAGGACGTTAGCACGAAGTTTCTTTTCCAAGAGCTGCTTAGAGCAATTCACCCTACGCCATTTTAGGCTGCTTTAGCCAGGAACTACCATTTTATCCACTGATCTATTTTTGCACTTCTCCTTCAAGACTGAGCCGCATATTGTTCCATCGTCAATGATAAATAGCACGGTCACCCTCTGTCCCACTTCATTTAAGTTCTCCCCCTATCTTGAAACGCCTATTTAATTTGTCGGCTTTTTGAAAAAAGATGCACTCTTGGATAAATTAGTAAGCAGGAATGACTTATATTCGTTCACAATTGCGACAACTTTTTGAAATTATGGTTATTTTATTTATTTATTTTTTATCTTACTAATTTCCACAATCTTTTGAAAATTACACTCTAAGGCCGTAAAAGGTTAACTCTTAGCAAACCTCAATATACTGAAAAAGATCTATTGAGAGTCTCAAATTGAACAAACAAAGCCTATTCAATATTGCCGAACGTTTGGGTAAATCCAATAGGCAGGGTGAATGTGTT